CATTTACACCATTTCGGCACTCTTCAGGTGGCTGTTTGGTGGAACCAACGATTGTTCCCTCACCTTGCCTGTAATCCCCGATGACAATAGGCAAACTAAGAAAAGATTCTGGGTATAATGAGGCATTCCTAGTATGCCCAAGGTTTTTGTTTTGTTTTCCCCCCCATTTGCTCAACATATTTCAAGAGCTACCTTATTAACAGGCTGACAATGTGGAAAAAGTTATCAAGACAAGGAGAGTAGATCTTTTTTCCTTCTTGAGGGAGCCTTTAGTAAATATTATAGTGAAATATTCACATGAAAATTAGTGATTGTGTATACCTTTCCAGTATGCTCATGTGCAAAGGCTGATGGGAATTTCTCAGCAATTTAAAGGTTTCTTAAAAAAGATATTTTATTTCTAAACTTGCAAAGTTCCTACACTACCTGGGGATCATATTTTGCAAGAGAGATGGGCAAAGACCTACTAATTTATCAACACTTTCATTGCCCACATCGTCTAGAATCAGTAGGGAGAGTAAGACATCAAAACGCAATTCAACAGTGTTAAGCTCAGCATGATCTAAGCACACACCAGACTAACATGGGCAGTCAGCTGTTCATAGCTCTTATAACATGAGGTCTAAAGCAAACATAAACCTGGAACTTTCTACATGAAAGATTAATAAGAGGCCTACAAGACTATTGATTACTCCCCAGTGGCTACCCACCTTGGGAGAACATCCAGTCCTGCATAATGTAGTCTTAGATTATTATAAAGCTCTGATGACTTCTGCCATCAAAACATTCTATTTACTGGTGCAAGGAGCCCTACTAGTTGACCCAGAAAGATGATTTTCTATTTGAAAGCCTAGTAACTTGGAGCTACATCAAAGTTCATCAGTGGAAGACATTGTTCAAACCTCAACTCGTGACAAGGATCTTATCAAGTCCTGCTGACCTGTCAAGTGGTAAGGCACTTTGTCTTGGATTCACGGCTCCCACTGTAAGCATCTTTCCCTCCATTTAACAGCTTTTTGCTACTAATACTTTTTATTATTAGATAGAGAAACCAATGACCTATTTCTCACCTGGGTTCCAGACCAGAGAGAGGCTGCAGGTTACAGAAAATTTCTCAAAATATCCTAAAACTACTTCATAAACTGGTAAAACCAATACTTCAAACTCGCCTGCTAACCACTGAACTCAACACACGTTCAAGAATTATCCAACGACTTTCAAGATGTACCGTAAGTGAATTTTATCGTATAAAAGCAAGTGAGAGAGGGGCTGGCCCCGTGGCCGAGTGGTTACGTTCGCGCGCTCCGCTGCAGGCGGCCCAGTGTTTCGTCGGTTCGAATCCTGGGCGCGGACATGGCACTGCTCGTCAGACCACGCTGAGGCAGCGTCCCACATGCCACAACTAGAGGAACCCACAACGAAGAATACACAACTATGTACCGGGGGGCTTTGGGGAGAAAAAGGAAAAAATAAAATCTTTAAAAAAAAAAAAAAAAAAGCAAGTGAGAGAAAAAAATCCCAATGATAACAAAACTGACCTGCCTATTGGAGAAAAGGTGGTCTTGTTTCAGATTTTGTTTTTTCTACATACAGATTATAATTTGGTTCCCACAAATACAGACCCACCTTGACCTTTCATGCGTCAAGGTTCAGTCTTGCCCACCCCCACCCCACTGCCAATTGAGTTCAAGGATAACAAAAACTTCTAAGGCACAACTTACTACAGTAATTTTTTTGTTTTGCTTTTGTTTGATTTTTGTTTGATTTTGTCAGAAACTGAATTAAATATCTTTCATTGGAAAAATAAGATCTTTCTTAAAACCCATCACACAATGTGGAGAAGAAGTATGACTGCTGATCCTGTCACTTTTGCAGGGAAAGAGAATCAGGCCCACCACTCGGGTCAACAGTGCGGGACAGCGAGCGAGCACCCTGACAGTCGACAGTTGCTACACTGTTCTTCAACTTTCTGTACTGGTCACTGAGTTGCTATTATAGGCTGAGGGGGATTCACTATCAAAAATTAAGTAAAAGTGAGCTTGCCTCCGCACTGCCCCCAGTTACTATTAGTGCCTTCTTTTCTATGAGTTCAAAGATACAATGAATATACATAGTCCTGCATTGAAAAATGAAAATTTTTAAATATTTATAAATTGTGGGTCTACTCTTTTTTTTTTTTTTCAGATTTAGGAGATGGAGACACATAGAACAGTACAATGAGGTGTCTTCAGTGGGGGAAGGGGAAGAGTTAGAAGTCCTGTCAGCAGGAAATAAGCCTGAATCTTCTGATCCCTGCTGTTCCATACCATGAAAATAGAGCTGGCCCGATGAACAGCAAGTCGACGCTGTAAGGGAATACTTAGGCAAATGAAAGTCCCAATTATAATAAAAAACTCATGACTTACGTCAGATTCTGTAGTTTACACTCTGGGCGTTTCAAGGCTTCACACAATGACTTTACTCCATTATCCCCTATATCACTCCCTTTCAGGTTCAGTTGCATCAGATTCTGATTGTGAGTCAAAGAACGAGAGATATCTTGACAACCATCAGGGAAAGAAAGAAACCTCAACCTTCACAAGAAAAATATGCAGGAGAAGTTACAAAATCATCTCTGTCCCTGGTTACTGCATCCCTTTCTTTTCAAAACCAACTCTTAGATATTATCTAAATACTCCTGCCATCTCTTCTCTTACTCTGGGTATCTCATATTCCAGGTCAGGTCATAAATTCAAGTTTCAAGATGTGGCTTAGGAAAACAACTGGGTTACAACTTAGATGTCCCTTATATCCTGATAACTGATACTCTCAACTTTTTTTGACCTTGAAGGAAAAGAATAACATCAGGAAAAGCAGAAGAGAGTTTGTGAACTCTTAATCCCAGGAATGACTACCAAAAATTATTGGGGCTGTTCCAAATACTGCAATTACACCATCAATTCACAAGATTTAGTCCTTTAAATAACCCAAGGTGAATTCATAGTTAATATCAACTATTCGATGTGCATCATTAGCAAAACTCATTATTGCAAACTACGCCCTGTCATCTCATGGACTTTGTTAGGTGTACGGAGACCACCCAAAGCAAAATATGAAGTTAAATATGCCCATTTTTCTTCCTATTTTCCATCTCCTAACTCAGTCACTGTTAGCTATATCTGATTCTTCTGTAGTGCCTCTGCTAGTCCCAAATGCCCTATGTTCACACTGCTCATGAACTGTTCAAAACCTCCCTCTGTAATATTACCTCTCCTCCCTTTTGCCACCACCCACCCTTCACCCTCACCCCACTTCCAGCCAAGCACATTCAAGAAAATTAAACTTTTACCCATTTAGAATGCTAACCATCATCATCTAGTAAAAGTGCCTAATGCTCTCAGTAAATATAAATTGAAAGTACGATCTCACTTGTTAGGGAAAAGGGACCTGAGTAAGACCACGCTAAGGTGGGAAAGACTGAGAGCTATCTTCATGGTGTCATCCCTCCAAGGGACCCTTGCATTCTAAAAGAGGAAGCCATTTAACTCAAAAGAAGGCATTAACTATTGTTAGGATTTGGACTGGTGACATTCAGTGGAGGGACAATGTGGGGGAGATGTTTGGGGGTGAGCAAAAAGGACTTCCAGGAACCCTTAATCATAACAAATGCAATTGCTTACCACATCTATATGCAAGAGCCTATCTACTTACTTGAAATCTAAGGCCAGATCTCACTAAAAACACTGAGATTCTACAGGAAATATTTAGAGGGAAGCCTGCTCCCCCCAAAAAAGAACATTAATCTTCAGTGTTAATGCAAAAAAGTACCTATCATTTGTTCAGTATTCAGTACATATTACTGAGCACCAATTAGGCCTTGGGCACACTGATGAGCCCTGAATACAGAAGAAAATAGGATTAGTCCCAGCTCCTAGTAGGGCCAATACACAAGAGGGAGAGAGACATGTAAAAAGGCAAATGTAAAAGTGATAGGGTACCTGGAATCAAATTAAGAAATAATAAAATAATAAAACAAAAAAAAATAGCAAATGTTGGCAAGGATGATGAGCAGCTGGAACTTTCATATATTGCTGGTGGGACTATAAAATGGTACAACCACTCCGAAGAACTGGTTGGCAGTTTCTTTAAAAGTTAAACATATATCTATGAACTAGCTATTCCATTCCTAGGTATTAGCCCAAGACATGAAGACATATATCACAAAAAAGATTTGTACAAGAATATTCACAGCAGCCTTATTAATAATACCCTCAAATTGGAACCAACCCAGAGGTCTATTAACAAGAGAATGAACAAACAAATTGTAGGATATCATACAGTGGAATGCTAATCAGCAGTAAAAAGAAAGTATTGAAACATGCAACATGGGTAAATTTTTAAAAACATTTGTTGAGCAAAAGAAGATGGACACAAAAAATACATACTGTATGAATCAATATAAATGGTTTCCAAGAAAAGACAAAGCTAATCTACAGTGAGAGAGGTTAGAAAGTGACTGGCCTTGGGAGTGGATGGGGTGAGAGGACTGAATATAAAGGGGTACGAGGAAACTTTCTGAGGTGATGGAGTTATTTTCTATCTTGTTTTGGGTATTGGCAATTGTCAAAACTCAACAAACTGAATATTAGTATGTGTGCATTTTACTTAATGTAAATTATTCCTCAAGGAGAAGAAAAAATAGTATGTTCCAGAACATGTCTTTGAAAATGCTTTGCTGACCTTCCTAGAATGCCTTAGTTCTGTGTTCTTCATTTGGAAAATTCCTAATCAAGCCTCAAAAACCCATGTCAACAGCTTCTATGCTCTGTGCAACCTCTCCCAGAACAAGTTAGCTATCCTCCCACGTACCCAGGTTTCCACAGTGCGTGTTCTTAGAGTATTTCACACAGTGGATTTTAAGTATTTGTTTACTATTGGTTACCCCCAATAAGTAGGAGTAGGAGGTGGGATCAGGAAAGAAATTGGAATAACTCCATTAAATTTTCTTATGCCAGACTTACCGTAGTTTTTGTAGTTTACAGTTTGGGTGCCTTAGTTCTTGATAAAAAGTCTTCATTGCTAACTTATCAAGGTTGCTATGACACAGGTCCAATTCTCTCAACTGTTCATTTGTATGAAGCACAGAACAGAGATCTTGCCAATAATGAGTAATGCGACCAAAATCCCTTTGCCTAAATAATTGGAAAAAGAAAAGACCAGTCAATGTATTTCAGCCCAGGCAACTCTCAGAAGATGGTACAGGCTGAAAATAAGTGTACTTTGGAAATGGCGAGAACATCCAGTGCAGCTCTGGCTTGGCTGGGCACAGTCCACCGGGAAGCCTTTCTCTTGGCACTCCAGAGGTTTCATTTGCCCTGTAGCTCCCCCGCCCCCTCAATACACACAAAATAAATCACACAAAAACAATAAAAGCTAGAAAGAATTCACTTTGGAGGAAGAGACTCAGGAAGGACAAGAGACGAGTCTTCAAATACCTAAAGAGCCAATATCAAGAAGAAAAATAATATATGACCACAAGGAGTAAGATTAGGAATAGTGGGTAGACATTAGGGAACTGTGGTGTAGATTGAGAACCATAGGCCCTGAGCCCCAGGTCTATCACTTACCTGCTATGTTACTTTAAGCAAGTCACATCAGTTCCATGCGCCATGTTTTCTTTATGTATAAAGTGGAAACGCTGTCTCCCTTCACAGGGTTGGGAGGATTTAATAGTCAATTTTGGTGGGTATACAAAAGCACTTTGTAAATTTTAAAATGCTGTATATTTTAATTATCAGGCATATTATCAATGGACTCATTATAAACAAATAAAAGGTAATAATGAATGAAACAGAGGTTAGCCTAGTGATTATTAGCATAAATTCTAGAATGGAACGGTCCTGAGTCCCAACTCTGCCATTCGCTAAACTGGGTGATTCTGGCACTGTTACTAACCTATGTGAGTCTCAGCTTCTTCATCTTAAAAAATTGAGATATGAGTAACTATTTCTTAGGATTACTATGAAGATTCAGTAGGACAATCTATAGAAAATGCTCAGCAAATGTTTCACATTGTAAATGCTCCTAGCAATTGGTAGCTGATATTATCTATATTAAAATATATAAAAGTCTAGCTTGTTGCCTTATACATAATAGCTACTATAGGTGAGAAAAAAATATCTTTTTCTGTCTGCTCTCCTAGTTTCTCTGGCTGTGACCCTATAAATTAGACTGACAAAAGGCAGATTAACAAGAGAAAAGGATACAAATTTTATTAGCATGTGCATGATGGCTACATATGGGAGAAACTCAGTTATGAGTAACTCAAAGGAGTGGTTAGAATTTGGGGTCTATATACCTAAATTAGTAGGGGAAAGGCAAGAGAAGAAAGGGCACTTAGGGAAAAACAAGTGACTTTTTGGAAAGATAAATGGGCCCCTACAAGAACAGATGAGAGATATGAGAGTTTGTGACAATGTCTGTCTGGGTGTGGTGCTAATTTCTGTCTCCAAGAAGAGAAGATTAGAGTTGCTCCCAGGGAGGGGATTTATGAGAGTTGAGTTCTTTTGGGAGGCTCTGCTTTCAGGCAGATAAGAGGTTTCAGGAACTCAAATGCCTTCAGCTAAAAGTAGTTTTTATATAAAAGCTGCATATTTTGGAGTGGCATATCCTGATCCCCTTCACTACTCAAATATTAGTTTCCCCATACCTTACACTTAAATTGGAATTAGTAACATTGCAGAGTGATGGTCTACATCACTTGTGGTCTTAAATTTGAGAAAGCTAGGTCATAAATCATTCAAACATTACTATATACAAATACAATTGATAAGACAGAGAACAAGGGGCTGGCCCAGTGATGTAGTGGTTGAGTTCCCATGCTCTGCTTCAGCAGCCCAGGGTTTGCGAGTTTGGATCCTGGGTGCAGATCTACACACCACTCATCAAGCCATGCTGTGGCAGTGTACCATCTACAAAATAGAGGAAGATTGGCAATAGATTTTAGCTCAGGGCCAATCTTCCTCACCAAAAAAAAAGTGAACAAGACAGATAGAGATCCTGCACTTGTAAAGTTTACAACGTATAGTTATGTTGTAGAAGAGACTGAGATCACCTATACTGTCTCTCTTAAAATACTGGGTTCTCAGATCCTTTTTATTTTGTTTTAAAGATTGGCACCTGAACTAACAACTTGCCAATCTTTCTTTTTCTTTTTTCTCCCCAAATGCCCCCAGTAGATAGTTGTATACTTTTAGTTGTGGGTCCTTCTAGTTGTGGCATGTGGGACGCTGCCTCAACATGGCTTGATGAGCGGTGCCATGTCCATGCCCAGGATCTGAACCAGAGAAGCCCTGGGCCACCAAAGCGGAGCACACGAACTTAACCACTTGGCCATGGGGCTGGCCCCTCAGATTCTTTTTTTATTTTAGCAACAATGCCAACTTTACTGTTAGATAACACTAAAAGTAAGGGGAAGGTAGCATGAAGACTGGCAATGTAGTACCTAGAATGCCTTCCTCACATTTACCATTAGGCATAAAATACATTCTAATGCTGGGGTCAGCCTGGTGGCAAAGCAGTTAAGTTCATATGTTACACTTTGGTGGCCTGGGGTTCGCCGGTTCAGATCCCAGGTGCAGACCTATGTACTGCTTATCAAGCCATGCTGTGGCAGGTGTCCCACATATAAAGTAGAGGAAGATGGGCATGGATGGTAGCGCAGGGCCAATCTTTCTCAGGAATAAAAAAAAGGAGGATTTGCAGCAGATGTTAGTTCAGGGCTAATCTTCCTCAAAAAAATAAAAATAAAAAAATACATTCTAATGCCCTATTTCAATCATGTCTTCTATAAATAGAACTATGGAGTCAGAGTTAAGAACACTGACTGAAGGAGATTACTGTCCTTGGGGATTTGTGAGTAAAGGTCATGGCACCCCAGCCTACAATTCCTATTCCCACAGTTCAGAGAGAAATGAAATATATGTTCTTAAGAGGAATGCTTCTACAGTTTATGTAATAGCAATGAGACAGCTTGGGTAAAGTTGGAAAACCAAGGACTTATATAATCAGATGTGTGACCTCAGCCAAGTTATATACTTTCCTGGTATCTCAGTTTTTTTATAAGTAAAATGAAAATAATAGCATCCACCTAGGATTCTTGGGAGACTACATGAGTTGGGACTTAGAAGACTGTCAGGTGTATGTCAAGCAAATATTAGCTATTATTTGACGTGTGCTTGAATCAATAATTGTAAACTTACTTTCTAAGAGGACTTCTCTGAATCTTAGTTTTGTTAATCTTAAAAATAAATTGAGATATGGTTTTGACGAGCGTTAAACTGGATAACATGTTAAATATCCCATGTACTATACAGCTGTATCCCACATAGTAAGCCCTCAATTTTAGTTAAATCTGGAACTAATTCCATAGTTCATTTCTTCCCCCAGACTTAGATGGGTATTCAGAAAAGGCAACTTGAGGAAGGGGAGAGGGTAAAAATAATATGCATAAAATACTGAAGGTCCATTTATTCTTTCAAAACATTCATTCAGCACCTACTATTTCTTACTCACATCTGACTCTCTCTAGCTAGGTGTTAAAGGGCTGAGAACTTTTAGGCAAATGCTGACCTGTGTCTAGGCAACAGAGAAGCTGAGCTAGGTCAACAGAGTACAGTGGAACAGAGTCCAGAGAGATGACCTATGTACCTAAATTCAGCAAGAAATTTCTGGTCCCTAATCTCCCGGAGGGCCTTTTAAAAGTTAAATATACGTACTATAGCGGATGTAAGTTTGTGCCATGCCACATCCCTCCTTGAAGACTGAAACACTCATCCCTAGTTGTTGGAAGAGTTGACAGCTGAGAGCTTTCAGCCAAGTCCCTCTCTTGGGATTGCCCTCAGGCTAAGAGAGCCACTTCAGGCAAGTTTTTGCCCATTCCTCACCAGTAGCCGTGACTGGTCAGTAAGATGTTTCTGTGCCTGGCCTCCTTGCTTCAGGGTGGGACAACTCTGAAAGGTAATCCTGGCTCTAGGACCTCACCTAAACAACATCTTCCCTCCCTCTGAGAAAATCTGCTTCCTTCACTCCTTCACAGGGCACTTTCAGGGAATGACCTAGCACACTTACCAAGTTTCAGCTGAGTGGCTTGAGTTTAACATCTTCCTCTCAGATTCCACAGTCACAGACAGTTTAATGGTCTGTAAACTTTGGCAATGCTTGAGGCAGAATGAAGACACAAGCAAATGGATTTTCCCATGAATATTAATGACAACCTTTCGGAAATATCTCATTGCCTGGCTTATAAATCCTTCATCTTGAGTCTCATACAGATAGTGAAACAACTCCAGAAATCCTAGCTGTGATGGAAAACAGTCACTGTTTCCTAATATTTCCATCCACTGAAGTATCTTCCATTTTACCCCCAGTGACATTTTACAGTTAAAAGTGTCCTCGAGTTGTTTTACTAGACCTTCATTCAAAAGGCCAAACAAAAAGCATTTCATCTGCATCAGATGGGGGTCTTTATAACTGTTGCTTTCAAATAACAGCTTCACATCTTCAAAAGACTGAAAAAAAAGGTTCCTGGTTTCCATACTGTCTTTCAATATATAGAACATAGCTGCAAAAAACTCCTGAATATGTAGGTGGGTGAACACATAGCAGTTTTCATACTCTGTGTCCTTTTGAAGAATATTCACGTCCAGGAAAATTGTGACATCACATTTAGTTAATCCATGCTTTCTGAGATTTTCCCTGTAAAACACATATGTCATAGTCCATACTCCTTTGGCAGCTAAGTGGCACAGGCTCCTCAGTTGGGTTTGGTTGGGTAGACTAGGACAGCTTCCATCTGCTGGTGTGAACAAGCTAGAGATATAGCAGGTAAACAGAGCCGTGGTGGTTTTGCAGGTCAATGTGACACCCTTCTCCATTTGCTGCTCCAGACAAGTACAAATGACTCGGCACACTAGGGGGACTTTGCACAGGCTAAAAAGCATCTCACTATTTCTTAGTGAACCAAATACTTGCAAAGCCCACTTCTTGTCTTCAAAAAACTGGTAAATATACTCCTCTCTTGCATCCTCAGACATACCCAGTAGCTCTACAGAACGCTGACTCTTCAACAAAGGCTCTAGTTTCTTACATGCTGTGAGTCTCGTTGTCACCAGTAAGGATGACTCAGGGAGCATCACTTTCCTCAGCAAACTACTCATGAGGAAGGACACTGGGTGTACCTGGGTCCAGTCTTCACACAACGCAAACTCAGGTTCCTCAAAGGCGAAGTTCAGTTCATCAAAACTATCAATGATAAAAAGGAGACTACTGGGCTGGGACATAATTCTTTCAATGGGGCCTTCTGTGCTGGGCCAGTCCTTTGATATCATTTGAACAAAGCTTCTCTCTCTCAACTGGTTAATTTCTCTGGCATTGAGATAAAAAACATAGGCAAATCTCTGCTGATAGAGGTTGCCCTGTGCCCAATCTAACATTGCCTTTCTCACCAAGGTTGTTTTCCCAACGCCAGCAGCCCCCTGAAGCACCACCGTCTGTGGCTGTTCCCCGGTTTTGACATCCACATCAAACAAATGTTCCAACAGTTCTTGACCTTTCTGAGCAATTTCATGACAGAAATCTTTAGGTTCTCCAAGCAAACACTCCTTATCCCACATGATGCAGAATTTTTCCTTTATTCGACTTCTGTATTCTGTTCCATCACCTAAGTCAGTTGGAATGGAGCAGGAAAAACACAAAGAGACACATGATCAAAACAAATTCTATGATTTGCAATGTTAAGAATACTGGACTTGGAGTTAGGAACAATAAGTGATACAGGCCAAAATCAAAGTGCAGTTGGTTTAGGGGTAAGAAAAGAATGTAAATAAAGCAAAAATATTCCTGTAGATTTAAAACCTACATTAGAAACTGTGGAAAAACAGAACTGACAATGCAGAAAAATGAATTTATAAAAGAAAAATTTGATTTGTTCTAGAAATATTTTCTCTTCTGTGTACTTTTTCTCTACAGAGAAAAAAGATGATATATGTGGAGAATAGAGTCATCATTTAGATAAAAACAAAAAGAACACAGGTAACAATTAATAATAAGAGCCAGAGAAGATCTGAAGACAGATCTGAATCTACAGATCAAATTAATCCACTTTATACAGGTAAAACATTAATAGAAATGAACATTGAAGCATAGCCTGAAGACTATTTTAAAGAAAAAAATTCCCATGTCCAAGTATAATGAAAATACAGTTTCATCTTTACCTAGTTCAGTCTGATTTCTTCTTTAGATCTCAATTTAAACATCCTTATCTGAGAGAAGCCTTCTCTGAACCCCAACACTAGAATAGTTCTCCCAAATATTCTCAAAACAGTATATTTTTCATTCACAACACGTATCACAAGTTGTAATTACTTTAATTTTTAAAGCAAATAATTCTTTTCTTTGTTCTACTAGGGCATTCAGTACAAACATCTAACATAGTTCATATCCCACTAACTTAAGCTTAGTTCTCCCCCAGGAGACGGTATGGTATTAAAGGCAGGTACTCTTTCTCTTTATGGTATAATATATAGCACAGGGCAGCACTTAAAAGAAAATTGAGATTATAAGGATGATTTCTACTTTCTTCATTATACTTTTGTCTATCTTCCAAATTTTCTAACAGTAAATTTCTATGGATGTAGAACCCTGGTCTCCTAAATTTATGGCCCATTATACCACAAGAATAAACTCCCTTATATTGAATCAGAAATTAAGGTCAAAGTGGGAAGTTAGCTTCAGATCATTTCATACAATAAACAATATTTATTTATTAGTGCTTGGAATGAAGTGGGTTCTCAATTATTTCTTGAATGAAATAATGTAACATCTTAGAAAGCAGCATAGCTGAGTTAGGAATAAAGGTTTCTCACCTGGTCCAGTTTTCTTTCTACCGTAATTCCATTTATATAAACTGGAATTCAAGTACGTTGAATTTGAAAGAAAATAAGGGAATAGAAATGGTATTGAACTAAGACTGAAAGCCCTGGTTCTGGAAATTACATTTTATACGAACTAGCTGGTCACTACCCCTAGAACTCAATTACAGCATCGTTTCTAAAGGATGGGAATGGATGTGAGAAACCAAATAGTCCCTGCCAAGTCAAGGACTCTTTAGTCCATAAAACACAGACATGAATATACCTTTGTTCATTAGACTGTCAACTTTTGACTGGGCATTTCCAAAGATTGCTCTCTTGAGGCCCTGAATTAACATGGCCTTGATTCTGACTTTGGCCAGAGAGCCAGTGTTGTTGATTCTTTTTGAATGAAAGACAGGGAATAGGTAGGATATTAGAAGAAGTTATCAAGAATTGAACAAAGGTCCCCTGGGAGATAAAACTCCATCATGCTTCAAAAGCTCAAACTCTTCCCAAATCTGACAAAAAGTCCATCTACTCACCCAACACTGCCTCCTGATCACCTTGTGCCTCTCCGGCCCTGGCATCTTCTGGCCCCATACTCTGGGTGGTCCCTGCAAGAGGTTCCCACAGGATCATGAGATTTACCAAAAACAAGGAGAGCTTTGGTGATGGCCAGAACTATTCTCAGAGGTCCAATTCTATGACCATCTCGGTTTAAGAAAAGAGCCAACAGAGCCTCAGAATCCACCAACTTAGCTGAGGAAGAAGTGATGTGGTGTGAACAACACTGAAGTAGGAGGCCTCTGGCCATGCCCCCAACCCTGTAACTCTTGGGCAAGGGGTCTAGTCTAAGCCTAAGTTTCCTTGTCTGTACTGACCTAATGGGGATATGGTGAGGCTGAAAGGAAATAATGGATATACACTTAGTAGCTGTAAAGCCTTGTATATGAATAAGGAACTTAAGATGCCTATAATAAATATTCCATAACTGGGAATGACTAAAAATGCTGGCTTATATCCCTTAATAATTTTTTGTCCATTCCTCATATTTCAGCAAAGATTTTAAATGATATTGGAGAGTCCTTAAAATTTAGCCTGGCCTATGACTTTGTTTGTAGTTTAGGCAAAGGAACACTAGATGGGACAATTTGTATCGCTCAATTCCTTTTATCATTCTAATTAGTACAAGATGGGTGAATTACCCCCAATTAAGGAGCGAGGCTGAGTAATAGTACTCAGAACCCTCCTACCTCTTCACTGTTCCTCAAATGATCCAACAAGCTCCCAATGTACTTGACCACCACGGAGCTTGTGTCCCACAGAATGGTTTAATCCCCAAATCCCTTTCTTAGAATCATTCCAATGGGCTCCAGGAAGCACCTTCTTCTCCCTATCCCCAGATATGTCCCTAGCATCACTCACAGTTGATCTCTGCTTTTGCTCTCTCACACAGATCCTTCAGGTTCATCTTGCCAAAGATTTTGAGAGCCACATCCCAGGCCTGCTCTCCTGGATAATATCTGTTCATCAAGTTAGCCAGATCCTCCCGCTTGGCCTTCTTCACTTCAGCCCAGGGTATCTGGCAGTGCTCGGGTTCCATGGTCGCATTCCTCAGGAGTAACTTGAATTTATTTAATTCCTCTTTGTTTAGCTCCTCCAAATACAATAGCAGGCCAAAATCAGGAAAGAAGGAAGAAGACAATGAATCTGTCATCTTGTCCACAGATCAATAGTCAGGCTTCAGTGGGGGAAAATAATCAAAAGAATGTTGAATAAATGGGACCTATGGAAAAGTAAGATTAGAAAATGAAATAGCTATAAAAAATATAGATTAATTCAACAAACGTGTGTTGAAGCCCAATTTATTAGGCTCAGTACTGACCTAGTGTCCTCTGTAATCTATCTTTTCTATCTTTTTCTATCATAAAAGCATTCCTCTAATAAAGACCACTGTGTATTTCTTCCACCCTCCCAAGAGTTACTCCTAGTCCCACCACTTATGAGCTGTAAGAAATAAAGAAAGGCAATTCATCTTTCTGAACCTCAGTTTGCTCTTCTGCAAAGTGAAGATATCAGAACCAACCTCCGAGGATGGTGGTAAGGATTGAATGAGGTAGAGTTCATAGATCACCTGGGACAGAACAGGTTCCTACTAAGTGTTGGCAACTTTCCTCATCCCTTCTCTCTCCCACCAACACTCAACATATATCTCAGCCTATAAAATGTTATTATTGTACCCTCACCAATAACCATTACTCTTGAAGCACATGCAATTGGCATATGCCTCCATTTACCTCTTCTTGTCATGTCATCTCTGTCACAAATCCATATGCAGTCACTGAAAGTCTGCATTCCTAACTCACAAGCTCCTTTCGCATCCACTCCCCAACACACATTATTCTAGATGAGTTTAAAATTAAAGCCCATCCAAAACAGCATTCTCTCACATCTTTGACCTTAACTCCCATGACCTTATTTCACTCCCATGTTTCACTCTGATGTCCTCAATCCAGACTTCATCAGCAACGACTACCCAAACTCTTAAACTGCAAAGTCCCATAACCCATTCTCTACTAATACCTTCCAGCTAATTGAGCAGTTTCGTGCCCTCAATCCCTTTGTGACAGTTCTTCAAGTTTTATCAAATCCCAGTCTTTGAGCCTTGTGTTTTCCTCTTATTTATCAGCCATCTTAACAGCCTTATTTAATTTATTATTCAGCATGGGTACTCCAGTTAATCACTTAAACCGTTTCTTCAAGTTCCTCATTTCCTCTTCAGTGATTTGCTTCAAGAGACAGAGCTAGTAAGTGGTACAGCTGAAACTCGACCTAGATCTTTCTCTAAACCCTCCCCCTTCTAATCTCCCATAATGCCTCCCCCCATTCCTGCCAATGGGATTGGAAAAGATAGATGGGGGAAATAAAAATGTACCAAAGGGAGATTTCACTTCTCAAACAGAAAGTGAATTATCTCAAAATTACATAGTAAATCAGGACTTTTTATCCTACAGCAATTGGTGAGCTATCAGCTGTTTTAGGGTTTTTTGTTTTAACTGCACTGCAGAATTATTCTAGACTACAGATTAGAATGTGACCAAAACAGATTCCATAGTAATTTTTTAAAAAGAAGCAAAAAGGAGTAAATTTGAGGAAACTTCAAAGGAACAGTGAAATTTCCCCAGGACATCCAGACTATGGTAGGTGAGGGAAAATGAGGTGTAGGACACAACACCCTCAACTTTTCACCTAGAAATGTACAGATATCACTCTGTGGGGGCCAATCTTTTTTCTCCTCTTTCCTGTAACAAAGAAAGGGGGCTCTCTCCCCTTCTCTATTGTTCATCCCTCCACCTGTGATCTGAATCACATGAGTACCCAGTTGTTAAAGGACTTAATCCATTAGTGATCTCTCTTCTCTATCTTCAACCCCTCCCTGTTCTCTAAGTCCCTCTTTAACACTTAAACACACCCAAATCTACTATAGTCTTTTACAAATGTTCCCTTAACTCCACGTCCCCTTCATCTTCACAGTCAAACCTCTTCAGAGTCTTCTCTCCTTTACATGCTATACCTCCTCAATCCTCTGCAATCTAACTTTTGCCACCACACTTCTGCTGAGATAACTCATACCAATTACCACCCTGTTGCAAAACCCAATAGGTATTTTTGGATTCAATTTTCTATCAGTAAGCAGGAAAATAACAGTATCTACCTCTGCGAAGATCAGAAGCTAATGCATGCACCTAACTTACAGAGTGCCATATGTATAATTGCTATTGTAACAATAACTTAATTCTTGATATTCTCTCTCTTCTTGGCTCTCATAATCCTATACTTTCTTCATTTTCCTCTTGCCTTTCTGGGTGTCCCTTTGAGCCAAGACCTATATGGTTCTCAATCCTATTGGGTCTCTACTACATGAGGGCTATAGTTCTGACAGAAAGACTCTGGTATCCTTCCCAAAAGTTTTATGCTGTTCTTTGAAGAAACTGTTCTTTGTTTTGTGGTCTTCCTTTGTTCACATTTTTGGGAAGGAAAAAACAGACGTCTGTTGTTGCTCCTCTTACGTGAAGGCATTCATAAATTCCAAAATGTTCTAAACTAAAATGGGAACCTGTGGTTGGAGAAGATTCATTTCAATTTTCAAATTTATTTATGTGAACTTTTGCCACTTATAATAATTAGAGCACACGTGTTCAAAATAAATTTTTCATTCAGCACATGTTAATAATAGCCATATTTGTTGAGGATCTACGGTGTATAGGTTCTTTATGAAAATTTTCTCTAGTCTTAAAAATACTCCTGAAAATTTAGTCTTATCCACATTTTATAGATATGAGGACTTGGAAATTAAGAAACTTGCCGGGGTTACACAGTTGATAAGTAGCCTATCAGACTACAAAGCTGATTCTCTTCCTACTAGGTACCACTGCCTTTCAATTTCACTCCATTTTTCGAGTCACAGTTAAATGAAACCTGTGTGGCCACGTTCCACGATACCTGATCCTGTGCTGAACACTGGGCTATGGGAAGAGGAAGACCTCTAAATATATAATGGCAATCTTCTGAGCTATGGCAGTTCTAGGAGAACACAAAGGAAGGAGGGATTCTTTTCTATAGAGGGTAGAGATGAGAAAGTCTTGGGGAAGTGACATTGTATCTAGGAAACAAGATATTCCCACCCTTTTCCGATACTCCTGCCTGATTTCCTTTCTTGATGGGTCTAATGGAACCTCCTATAGCAGTTATTTGCCAGATAATTCTTTATTTGGGGCACATTGTATGGGCAGTGTATGATGTTTAGTAGCTTTCCTGGCCTCTACCCACTAGATGCCATTGGAACCCTCCTCCATCTCCCACAGTTGTGACAAACAAAATGTCTCCAGACTTTGTCAAATGTCCCAGGGCAGCAAATTGCCTGCAGTTGAAACCACTTCCAAAGCCATACCCTCTACTGCTGAGTGTACAACTCATCAGTCCTTCTCTATGATATGACCATAACGAAGAAATCAAAGAAACAGACTACATAACTCAGAGAAAGACATTCCCATGAGATTCAAATATATAATAGAAGAAATACTGTAATTGGGAAGGGAAGCACTCAGTGCAGAGTATTAGGACAACTTGTAAACCATTCAGACAAAAAGTAATTAGTATTCTCACAGAATAAATCTCAGATACAGTAAATCAGTAAATCGTTAATACTTCAAACCAGAGGGGAGAAACAGCAGAGACTATTTATCACACTTTAGGAGAGGAGGGACTTACCAGTTTGGGCACATTAAGGGAAATGACCAAAAATCAGGATGAATATTAGGAGATATATTGTTAACTATGTTGAAATTAAAACCTCTTCTCCATAAGAATTCAAACACAAAACGAAACCAAAAACAGCAAAAATGTTTATAGGAAACTTGACAAATAAATAGTTGAAGTGTAAATTAGTAAAATCACTTTAGAACTGTCGGCCTTAACTACTAAAATTGGAGATACGCACCCAGATCCACATTTGGTTTCTAATACCATTCTCCCATAAGAGGAGTCAGGGCTCTATGGTGAAGTGGCTGATTCTAGGACTAGGGCTGGGAATATACAAGATGAGCCTAAGCTTCTTGCAGTGCTAGAAAGTAAGGAAAAGAAAAGGAAAGAGTACTTCAAAAAGACACAAAAGCCAACCTGAAAGAGCTCCCAAATGGCCAAAATAAATAATGCAGTATTGGATTACAACCCAAAGTATAAAGCAAATATCCATGAGTCTATACTGATATAGATAAATGAATGAATAAATTAATAAATGAGGGGAAAGAGACAAATCTTTATCGTAGAATAACTCCAAATACTTTACGTAGATATTCCCTTCTCCAGGAGGTGGGTCTTAGCCCCAACCCACCCCCACCCATTTGTTAGTGATTGGGGCTTAGTGATCTGTTAAGTGGAGAACCTGACAAACACTGCCTCAGCCTGGTGTTCAAGGTTATCATCATCAGTCATGTCATTGTTGATAGGATGTACCTTTGATAGCATGTGATGAGAGTGGCATATGACCACCGTGATATTCCTCCCCAACACCCATAATTCCAGTTTAACCAAGAGGAAAACATCAGACAAACCCAAAATGATAGGCTACAAAATACCTGACCAGTACTTCTCAAAACTGTCAAAGTCATCAAAAACAAAGAAAGACTGAGAAACTTTCACAGACCAGAGGAGACTAAGGAGTCAAGATGACTAAGTGTAATATGGTATTCTGAAAAGGGTCCAAGAATAGAAAAGAACTAGGAAAAAACTACTGAAACCTAAGCTAAGTGTCACTTAATTAACAGTCTTAATTGCCTTAGTCGTGACAAGTATACTAAGGTAACTCAAGACGTTAAAAATAGGGGAAATTGGGTAAGGGGTATAAGACAATTCTTTTTCTGTAAATCTAAAACTATTCTAAAATAAAATAGTTATTTTTTAATTGGAGATATGCATACCCTACGGCCTAACAATCATATTCTTCAGAATCAACCCAACAGGGATGTGTGTGCAGGTATACCAAGAGACACACAAGAATAGCCACAGCAGCAATCTTGTAATTCCTAAGCACTGGAAAAGATCCAAGAGTCCACCTACAGTAGAACCAACAAATAAATTGTGGTAAATTCATACAATGAAATCCTATACAGTAATGAAAATACATGATCTGCAACTATACGCTACTAGGGTGAATCTCACAAACATAATCAGTGAAAGAAGCCAAACCTCAAAAGATTATGTATCGTATAATTCCATTCATAAAAAGATCAAAAATAAAAAAATAAACCATATATTGTTTATGGATGCATGTATAAAAAATGGGGTAGGGGTAAGGAAGTAACTACCATAAAAGTGAGTTCGTGTTACCTCTGCAGGCAGGGAGGATTTATGATCAGGGAGGTGCCCCTGGGGCTCTTGGGCACTGGTAATGTTCTATTCCTTGACCTGGTGATGGTTTACATGGACGATCACTTGGTTATCATTCACTAAGCTGCACAGTTATGTTTAATGCACTCTCCTATATGAATTATAGTTCACACTAAAATATAGTTTTTAAAAGGTTCATATCACCAGAAAGACATAATACAAATTAGAAAAGCACTAAAAGCAAATTATTGCTAATAATCTATCCATAGAGGGAAAAAAAGGTAAACGGCTAACAAGTATTTCAGAAAATGTTCAAACTTAAGCATATAGATAAACTAACACAAACCAGGTGATATCACTTCACAATTATCAAAATGGCAAAAATAAGCTTTAAAAAACAATATCACATGACGATGAGCACATAATGGAGTAGCTATTGTTAGTATAAATGTTAATTGCTACACTCTTGGAAAGCTGCATGTCCACAACTATGAAGAACTTGAAAACCATGCATGACTTTTCAACCAGTAACCTCTCTCTGGGAAATTACTCAATGGAAAGAATCCCAAGCACAGAAAAGAAAGTTTTGTGCACACAGGTGTTTATTTCAAGTAGTAAATAATTGCCAAACTAAAACTCAATTATGATTAATGAAATAAACGCATAAAAATATGGCACAGTCTTTAAAATGACCTCTTCACGCAGCAATATGCAACACGTGCAGGGTTAAAAGTAGAGTAAGAATATGAGGATTGGTACTAAAGAATTAAAACAAAACCTCTACATAAAAAAGACAAAGAAAATATACCAAAATATTGACCTTCGTCGTGTTTTGGGTTTACGACAATTTGTGACAACTTTCTTTAATCAAAACACATTCCTTAAATAAATGGAGCACAGGAAGGGAATATTCTCGGACTGAAGGACGAACACCTGCTCTCGGGCAGGGAGGAGAGAGGCGTGCTGGAATTCCCTAGGATTGGTGAAAGTGGGGATAATCATACCACTTGACCTCAAGCGAGTTAGGAAGCAGGCACTGCACTCGAGCTAAAAGCCACACTAGGTCTCCACCGAAAGTGGACTACTTACCCACGTGCGCACCGCAGCCTGGGCTCCCCGCCTCCCCAAGAGACCGCGGACTCGCCTCGCACCGGGAGTGACCGCTCCCGCGGATCTTCGCCCGCGCCCGCTAGCGGACCAAGTTCTTCTCCCTGGGAGTCCTGGCAGCTCCTCCTCTTGGGCCTCGGCCCGGGGTCTGCATCCCCTTTTTTGTCTTCCACTAAGAATGTGGGCGCTGGAAAGACTCTCAGGGTATCTAATCCTATTTTAGCGGGGGCAAAACACCCCCAGAGAAGAGGAGGATCATTCCATACCTTGAGTCACAGCGGACGTCGGTTGCGAAGGTTAAATCCCAGCGCCGAAAGCGAGGAAACGAAGAGGGAAAGGAAAAGGTGAAAGGAACAGCTCAACAGGTACCTGCTGTTTGATGTGAAAGGGGAACTTACCCTTTTTCCTTTCACGACTAATCTTCCTCCTCCGCTGCGAGCCCAGCAAACGCGCGCGAAGAGAGCTGCGTGGGCCGCCGGGTGCGGTTGGACCCTCTCGGCCCGGCCCAGCGAGTCTCTCTTCCCATTGGCTGGCAGGGCAAGGGGCGCTGCTCCCACGCTGGCGCTGGGTGCCTGAGCCTTAGACCCGCTCTACCGAGCGCTGCTCCTAGGAGAAGATAACCTGGTGCAATATAAGATCCTCTGCGTGCGGCGCACCTCGGGGACACAGCCTCCTTCCTTTCCTGAGAACTCAACCTGGGGGAAGCGGGGGTCTGGGAGTTGGAACCTGGCTCCAGGTGACCTTTCGCATACTGGCTGACTCCCAATTAGCAGCAGCCCTTTATTCCTCCATCCAATAATCCATGTAATTATTGAGCACCTACTTCGTGCCTGCCAGTTTTTCGGGCCCACTCCAGCAGCGAACAAAACATCCGAAGTCTTGCTCCCGCCTCCCTCTCTGGCGCTTTCATTGTATTGAAGGGGCACAGACATTGAACTGTAGTGTATCAGATGGTGATCATTGCCGTGGAGAAAAACAGAGTGGGGTAACAGACTTTGTGCTGGAGGTAAGGGTTAGGGGGTGGGTCCTATTTCTCTCTGGGTAGAAAGGGAAGACACTGCTAAGGTGACATTTGCAAAAAGTGAGAGTGTGAGCTATGCAGATATCTGGGAGACGGAGCATTCTAGGAGAAGGAAATAACAAGCGCAGAGGCCTCAGACAAGAGCCTGCTTGATATATTTGAGGAAGAGTTGAGTCAAATCAAGCCTCATGGTCACCATGACTCTGTGTTGATATGTGATAGTGCAATTTCATCCAAATCCCACATGACTAGAACTGCTTTGTGTGGATATATGGCCTTGGCCCCTGAAAACAGGGATCTCAAAGTTGGCTTAGACCCTAATAGGTCCAGCAGCTTCAGGAATTAGAATTGTCTCTCAGATGAGAGGCCTCTGGATCAAATGGGCAAATGTGTGTCCTTTTACGATGGCTTCCTTTTTCTCAGGATTACCCATTCTAAAGACCCATTCCTATTGACATAGTAGCAACATTTAGGAGATTCTAGAGTTGTCCATAACCTTGTTTAAAGTACCATTTCTCCAGCTGAATCTTCATGGAGAGCTTTAAACCTTATTGGCAAAGCATGAGCCAGTATTTGCTGGTATTAAGCAAATTACACTGTAGGCAACTGATGTGAAGGGCTCAGTCATGCTAGTTAGCCAGATGGATCCAACAGCCTCAATCACAGTCAGAAACTAGAGCCCTAGATTATAAAGATTCACATAAAAACTAAAAAGTATAACCCATAGTACAGAGGTGAGAGAAAACAAGGTAAACTCTCTTGGTTTGGCTCCAGTCTACTATATTAATTGGTTATGTAATAGCCATTCAAGAAATGTGCTGACTATTATATTCACAAGTACATACATCTTAAGAGAAGTATCAGTGTTACAGGTTTGGGTTCTAAAACCATGAAATAGAACATATTTATTCCATGAAAAATAAAAAACTGAGGAGACTATTAAAGGAACAACGTTTTAAAAGCTGAGGGTCCCAAAGTGTACCATAATAAAAATAAATTAGACCACTTTTTCATTTTCATTTAATTTACATATACCTATCATATTTAATTTTACATAAACACAAGTTTTATAATATCATACATTTTAGTGCAATCTTGTTTCTTTCGCCTTTGATTTAGCTCTTCCACAGAAAGAAGTCTTTCTGAGGAAGGACATTGCTTGTCCCTTACTGCGTTATTATTTTAAAAATTCTGTTTTGTCTTTTTTCTATTACTTTTGCTAAAATTTAATTTTTCAGGCCTCCTTTTTCTCAAAATTCTAAACAATAAAATGGAAAATGAAAGTCTTCTTAATTAACAACTACTAACAAAAAGGCATCTCAGAAAAGGTTTTGAGATGTCTCCTCATGCCCCTGCAGCTGGAAGGAGAGACACCATTCTTCTTCATGAAATTAATAAGGTGTGAAGTTAATAAGGGCAAGTAAAAGCATATTCATCAGCTGGGGATAAGGATGACAAAGCTCATATTTAGTTTTTGTTAATTTTCTCTGGACATTTTTTATCAATATATAAAGTCTCTCTCTTTATTTGATTCTTAACTTTCGGTTAGCTTTCTGCAGGATTGAAATTTCTGCTTTTTTGTTTGTCTGGTAGCTTTTTGACCAAGCTCACAGGTGTTTCTTTTAAAAAGCATATGGGCGGATTTTATTACTTGACCCAGTCTGACAGTCTCTGCCTTTAAATGAGAAAATTCAGTCCATTCACTTTTACCACATGCACTGATAATTTATTGCATTATTTATATATTACTTTAGGTTTATTATTCATTTTAAATCATAGCTTTATTTCTTTTCCATATTTTTCCTTTAAATGAGAAAATTCAGTCCATTCACTTTTAGCACATGCACTGATAATTTATTGCATTCTTTATATATTACTTTAGGTTTAGTATTCATTTTAAATCATAGCTTTATTTCTTTTTCCATATTTTTTCTATCTTTCCTCTTAGTGTATTTGCTATTTGTTTAGAGCCCTTTCTTAAATTATGTCTTCAGATGGGAAAGACCTGAGTGATACAGACTCTGCATTCTTGCAAATCCTCAAATGTTTATTTCGTCAGGACAGGTGACTACATTTTGGCTCATGGATGGCAGCCCCTTTATTTTACCAGTCTATAGCTGCTATTTAACCATTTTATAGCTTCCAACATTACAAATGATAAGAATAATGTCATTTTTCTTTGTAGATAACTTGCCCTTTCTTCCTGAAAGCTTATAAAGTTTTCTCTTTATCCTTAGCCTGTAGAAATTATATCTGTATATGTCTAGTGCGAGTCTTTACTCATTAATCCACACTGAAATGTTGTGAGTTCTTTAGCTCTGTAGATTCAGGCCTTTTAAAAAGTTTTCGGCCCAGAGAAATTTTCTATGATTTTGTTATTCATTTATTCCTGCCCTTCTGTCTACTCCTTTTTCTTCTTCTGGAACTTTTTGTCTGCATATTAGATCTCATAGATGTATCCTTTAAGCGTATTATCTTATTTTTCTTCATGATTTCCATCTCTATCTTTTTTCCTCTGTGCTTTGGGGTATTTCTTTAAATCATCTAGGCAACTTCTTGGGTCTCAAAAGTGACCATCTCCAATTCAATTGCTAAATTGCTTCATTAGAAAGAGATAGGGATAGATATAGATATCTTTTATTAAATTTTAATTTAATTTTTAAAAGTATTATATATACTTTTTTAAATTCCAGAAAGTGTTAATGCTGTACTTGATGCTCTTTTTTTGTTATTCATATTGTCATCTGCTGTTCTAGCAGTTATATTTCCCAAGATGCACATTCAGTTTGTCTCTATTCATCATTCTCTGTCTGGCAACTGGATCCCCTTGAGTTTTTGTTTTGGGGATTTTTTTTTTTTTTGTCAGTTCATTGAGGTTTAGATCTGGTTAATAGAGTATTTTAAGTTAGCAGTCCCACACATAGGAGAAGACCAAGAGGCAAGGAGGTCTTTACCACTGCTGGCTGGTGAATAGAAGCATGAAGCCTGCCATTTTCCCACTGAGGCACCTGGATAAAAGCCTCTTGCTCACTACTCTCCTTATAATCTCTCAGACTCAGCATAGGGGACAGTCAGTGTACGTGTTCAGCTTCTTCTTGGCATCTTGGGAGTCAAAGAGCCCCAGTAAATTTATACAGGTCTCCTAAGGGGTCCACCAACCTGAGGTCCAGGCTCGTGTCAAGAAACACCACTTTCAAGTGCTCATACCTAGGCTCTGATGCTGTTCTCCACAGTCTTATCCAGCACATAAGGAAGAGGATGGCTCTAGAGAGGTCCAACATCATGTCTCTGAACCAGTGATCTAAGCTCAAGGTTTCTCTCCACAAGCCCCAGTTCTCTGGTTTAGGAGAAGCAGACAGCTAGAGCAGGGAATAGAAGAGCTCATTAAACAGCCCTTTCTGAGAGTCTCCCCTAGGATCCACGTCTAACTTTAACTACTAAGAGCTACTGCCCTTTTCTGTGAATGACCTTATGAAATAGGAGACCCAGTCACTTTCCTTAAAATGAAAAAACCCTGATTTTTCCCAGTATTCCCCAACCTTGACATGGAGAACTATGTTATTATCAGTGTGTCTGTGGTGAAAGGCCTTAAGAATTATTGTTCTTAATTAATTAATTAGCAAACAGTTTGAAACAAAACCATAGGTTCCACTTCCCTCTCAAAATAAGTTTAAAAAAAGCTTGAAATGCAGGAGACTGAGTTAGACCTCTGACATCCTCTGATACACAATAATTTAGTCTCAAAGCACACTTTAAAAATGAGATTATAAGTTAAATAATGGCATCAACTGCTAACATTTGATGTTTTTGTGTCCCAAGAATGCTGAAAGCAAATTATATGGATTATCCCACTTATTCCTTAACAATCAGGACTAATGTGCTATCGGAATATTATTCTATTGGAAGCAGTGTGGGAGAGCAGCCCACCCCCAGTGCTCGTTCTTACTGGTCAATGTCTGTGCATTCAGGATTTTGACTATCAACTATAACAGTTTAACCATATTAAAATCTTCATCTTACAGATGAGAAAACTGAGGGTGAGAGATTAAATAACTTTCCTGACATCACCTAATGGGTAACGACAGATTTTTAAGTCAATTCTGTGAGACAGCAAAGCTCAAGCTCTTAAATGCTATGCCATATTGTCTCTGAATGTTTAAGCCAGGGAGGGGTCCACGCACACTGACTTCCAAAATGTCGTCTTGAGAGTCGTAAGAAATTCAGATTCTTATTTCGTGGTGGGAGCCGCAGGTGTAGGCCCTGGACCACTCACTCCTGCTAAACATTAAACTGTAAATGCATAATTAATATTTATAGAGTACTTCCTATGTGCCAAGGACTGGTTTAAGCATTTTGACTAAACTAACTCAGTTACTTCTAATATCAAGCCTGTAAAATAGTTATTATGCTTATTTTAAAGGTGGGGAAACTGACACAAAATGATTAAATCATTCCGCCAAGTTCACATCACCGATAAGTGGGATAGTCAGATTAGAATCCAAGGAGTGCCTTGCTTTTAAAGACTACCCTAACGAAGGTTCCTTGCCTAATAAATTGTTGACTACTACTGAACCAGCCCAAGTTGAGGGAGAGTGCTTGAGGAATTGAAAATATTTTCCTAATATAACACACTCAACTAGATAGTAGGAGCAGGTGCTTGGATCTCTTTTTGCTCTTCCCAGGACACAGAGAGGGGGCTGCTTTCCCCGGCTCCACCTTGGTCCCGTCTTGCCTTTCCCGTCTCTGCCTGAGTCTCCAGAGGAGCCCAGGACTGGGCAGGAAGAGAGGAGGGAGGAAAGCCCGAGCCTACCAGCGCGTCGGCAGGAGCGAAGCGGGTCCCTGGCAACCATAAACTGGAATTTGAAAGGTCCTCTTCGCGGCTGCGTGACTCCAACCTGGAGTTTAGGGACAATGCTAGAGCCAGAGCTAGCCGGGTGCCCATTCCGTCAAGGGCGCGGGAGAGCGGGCGCAACCACCCCTCGCCGGCATTGGCGACCTGACAGCAAGGGTTTCCCCAGGTTCCCGTTGAGGGGTTCCCGCGCTCGCGGGGCGTGAGGGTCCCCGAATTCTCCGAGGCCGGCGGCTCATTTCTCTAAACCACCAGCCCTGCCCCTTTCCCAGGGGCCCTAAAAGCACCTAGAATAGTCCTATTTCGTTTGTACTGGGGGTGGTTCGGACCCATCCTAGGCTCAGAGTTCGGGAACGCACAACCCTCCGCCCGGGAACGCTGGCGGCTGAGCGCCGGGCTGCGCCCCCATCGTTTTGGCCAATCAGGAGCCACGTTCTCCGGCGCTCTCCTTTCCCGCCCCGCCCCTCCCGTCTCCAAGGAAACGCACGAGTGTCTACTCCGAGGCCTGGGGCTTCCGTTTCGCCTATACGGGCTGAGGCTATTGTTTGTGTAGACGGAGTGTTTGGGTCGGTCTCTGTCCGCCTTCAGAGGCTCTGTAAGTGCCACGGACTCTCGGGAGCACCGAGCCCGTAGCGGACGAGGGCGGGCGAGCTGTGGCCGAAGAAAGAGTGGCAGCAAAGGGAGGGTCAGGGGCCGAGAAGCAGCTCTGGCGTAGAAGTCCCGGAGACATCAGTTAGGTGGGTCCTTCACTGCCGCCCTCCCCTCCCCGCGTTAGTGCTGAATGAGGAGAAAGAGCAGGGCAGAGGCAGCTTGGGCCCTGGGGCCGGGTGCTCGGAGTGGGAGGTGCCGGGGCGGAGCTCGGGTCGGGGGTCTGGACGCGGAACCAAGGAGGCCGCGCGCGTCCTGGCTGCAGAAGCCGAGGCCGCGCAGATCCGTGGCCCTGAGACGCGCAGATCCTGCTCCTGAGAGCCGTTCGTCTGTCTAAATTCGGACACTCAGGCGGCCCGTGGCGCGTTGGAGGAGCCCAAAGCTGTCCTGCTCTTGGGACACCGTGAATCACTTTTCTTTCTAGAGAAAGAGGGTTCTTAACTGTTTATCGTTTTCCCCAGGGACCTGTGATCAGCAAGGCAGGACCAGGGTGACAAAGGCTCATGCCCCCATTTTACAGGTGAGGAAAGTGCGGCCCTGGGAGCTCTAGAAGTTTGATCTTTTTCAAAGTTCTACAAGTGATTGGTGACAGAGTTGAGACTATGATCAGGTCCTGGGAGTCCTAGATCGAGGATCCTTTAAGACTCTAGGTACCCTGATAGTAAATCCATTATTTCTTTTGTGACAAGTAAGGGAAGGCAATGGAATTATCTTTCTACTTAACTGATTGAACAAAATAGGAAAAATACTTCAGAAAGAAACTATTTAAGTGTCCTGCTGTTATTTTTATTATTATTGTTCTTGTTAATAAGCTAAGAAAACCTTGAGGCTCAGAACATTAAATTACATAGAGAACACTTGCATTCCTGGGCCTAAACTGTGAGATCAAATTCTGTTTTCATGCTCAATCTAGAATTGTACCTTTGAAGTTTCTAGAGTGAGAAGTAAGCTCCTGGGTGCCAATCCTCATAACTCCCCTATCTGGTCCTTGAAAGGGAACAGAAATGTTCTTGCGTTCTTTCTGACCTCTTTCTAGGAGATTTGGAGGTCCCACCCAGTTAGTATGTGAGGATTGTAGTGAGTTGGGAATTTCAAGGGATGCCCAGCCTTTCATTCCTCCTTTCTTCTCACTCAGCTCAACCTCCTCAACACTCCACTCTTCTCCAAAAGAGGAGCACAAAGGAGGAAGGAATGTTCACTATTTTCCTCATAGTCTGATCCCAGGTGAGTAGGATTGTCTTTTCTCATTTATAAAATGCCCCTCAATTCTCCGTGGGTAGTGGGAGTAGTGGAAGTGGCAATGGGGATGGATGGACCAGATTGAATAAAAAATGTTCCTAACCTGCCGGAGAAGCTTCCAAGCCTCCTCTACAGCATGACCCTGCTTCCCTCCCAGTGTCTTTTCCCAGCATTTACTCATTTATTCAGCCAGTCATTCAAGTCTACTATATAATTCATACAGTTCTTGAAGCTCTGAGATAAAGAAATATAAGAATGTCGTTTCTTAATGTTGGGGGAATAAACCATGAGGTTAATAATAATTTCTCAAGTTATCATGTTGAACAGTGCCAGAATGAGCGGCATTTAAAAGACAGGAACAGGAACTCAGATTTGAATGATCATTATGAATAGGAAGATATTCCAGACAGGAAGACCATTATTTCGTCTCAGGCAGAATTTGAGGGGACAAATAAGGAAACTGGGCTAGTTGCAATAGAGCATAAGTATGAGTGTATAAGGTGAGGCCACATTGTGTAGGGCTGTTCATCTTTACTTGGTTACTTCTTCTTGTACACCATTCAATCCCCTGCACATCAACAGAGGCAGCCATTATTAGCGTTTGGATATATTTAACTATAGTTTTTTATCTAATACTTAATATACATACATACCCACTAATCCATATAAACACTAATACGTATGCATATGTATATATACACATATGTAGAAATATACCTACATAGATTTATCTAAGATCCATGTATGTAGCGAGAATAGTATATATAAAAAAATTTGAATCATGACAAAACAGGCTCCATGAGGGCAGGGAATCTTCCCAGTATATAGAACTTCCCTGGGATGTAGTAAGCACTCAATGAATATTTGTTGAATGTATGAATGGCTTTTATATGTATAATTTTTTAATTTAACATATAATGAACATTTTTCCAAGTATTTCTTGGTAGCATGAGTTTTAATGACTATATAGTGTTCCATTCCAGTTATATACCATTCCATTCCAGGTATATATGCTGTATTCCAGGTACACAGATATATATGTTCCATTATAGATATATATTGCTTTATTTAAATTTTCTTTTATTGGGAAAAACTAGGTAATTCCCAATATTTTGCCATTATAAACAACTTCTAATAAATATTCTTATGGATAATTTATTAAGTGTATCTCTCTTTACTTCCTCAAGATATACTTTGGTAAATAGGATAACAGAGTCAAAGAATATAAACGTGATTTAGGTTTTTAAAAAACTTTTTTAGAAATATGACATGAACTAACTTCTACGAGCATCTGATAAAAGGTCCTGTCTTGCTAATCTTTACCAGCATTGAGTATTATCTTTAAAGTTTTGCCTTAAGTTGCATCCCTTTAATCTAGTTCTTAGTAAGGTTGACCACTTTTTATATATATTTATTGGTCATTTGCATTCCTTCTTTGACATACATAATTTATGCCTCTTGACATATATTATCTTTTTCCCTACTGATTTTGTGTGTGTGTCTGAGGATGATTTGCCCTGAGCTAACATCCATTGCCAATCCTCCTCTCTCTCTCTTTTTTTTTTTGCTTGAGCAAGATTAGCCCTGAGCTAACATCCATGCCAGTTTTCCTCCACTTTGTATGTGGGATGCCTCCACAGCATGGCTAATGAGTGGAGTGGGTCTGTACCTGGGATCCGAACCTGCAAACCCTAGGCCACCAAAGTGGAGCACATGGAACTTTAACCACTTGGCCATGGGGCCGGCACCTGAATTTTTTTCAATTTGATAAATGGTACTCTTTGCATGTAAAAGATATAAACCATTTGTTAGATGCTGTATTTCTCCTACTTATCATTTGCCTTTTACTTTTAAGGACTTCTTTGTTTATATAAGTTTTAAATTTGCATAACATAAAATCTTGTTTCTTTTTATTTATATAGTTTTGTGCTTTGAAAGCTCTTCTTCATCTCTAAATCTAATACATAGTTACTTTCATTTTCCTCAATTATTTTTCATCATTTCAAGAATTTTAAAAGTTTAACTCTGAAACATATTTGGTATTTATTTTGGTGCAAGAAATGACAGGAGAACTTAAACATTCTTTTTTCTTCCCACTTATTTTATTTTTCTAGTAACATTTACTTTCTCCATTGATTGTGGTGCTACCTTTCCATACACCAAATTACTAAATTCTTTACACACATACACACACACACACGTACACACATATACAAATGTACACACAGATCACTTTTGATCACTTTTGGAGCTGTCTTGTTTCATGGACCCATTTCTCAGTTCTTATACTGGTATCAAGGTATATTTAATTTTGTTCCTTTACATGTGGTGCATTTAATGGACAATTAAAGGGAAGTTAGCTTTTCTTTTTCACTAAATGAAGATAAGGAAAAGAAAGGACGATAGCTCATATATTGGGAATATTCCACTGAATAACATTATAAGGATTTCCATTTTGGAAAAAAAGAAGTAAAAGTTACTTAAAAGTTTTAGATGTTGAAAATATTAATCTTTCAGTATTTTTATTAGTATAGCATATTGGTTAAAATGCAGGCTCTGGACCCGCTGCCTAAGCTTGTTTCATGCCTCTACCGCTTCTTAGTTATGTGAACTAGATTGAATTACTTAACCAGATTCTCATCTCCTCTGAAGTGGGGAAATAGAACCTGCTATATCGGGTTGTTAAGAAGGTTAAATAAGATCATACATGTAAAAAACTTAGCACAGTGCTTGACGGATAGAACTCACTAATAATTGGTTGCTATTATGTTAGTTATTATTTAAAATATAATGCATATCTGATGTAACTCTTTCTAGTCACTAAGACATAAGAATTGAGGCAGGGAATCTAGCTTAAAAATTTTTTGCCAAATGGCTAGTCAGTTGTCCCAGCATCAACTAAATAAACCATCTTTTCCCCACACATTTGATGTCACCTTTATCATGTTTATAATTCACTGCTATATTTGTGTCCATTTCCGAATTTCTAGTCTTTTCCCCATCGTTATTCTCTATTCCAACGTCAGCCTCATGGTGCTATAATTACAGGGGCCTTACTAAAGTTTTAATATACCTTTGGGTTAGTGTCAGCAAACATTTTTAAAAGTCCCTTGATGACCCCACAATTTCATCCATCCCTCTCTTAGAGAGGTAACTTCTATCTTGAATGTTGTGTTTATTATTCCTGTAGGTCTGTTTGTAGTTTTAACTACCTATGTCTGCATCTCTGAACAAAATTCTTTAGTTTTGCCTATTTTTGAACATTATATAAATGGAATTACTATATATGTTCTTCTATGAGTGGTTTCTTTAGCATATTGTTAGATTTTTACTGTGCACCCATGTTGATTCATATAGCTCTAGTCCGTTTTCACTGCTGTGTCCTATTTCACAGTATGAAAAACTACTGATTTATCATCCTATGGTTCTTGGGCCTTTTGGATTGTTTCCAGATTTTTGCTGT